TTGTTTGTTTTTAACCTTAGATGCAGAGCCTTTCTTAGATCTACACTGTTAATTTTAGTTTAACCTTCCAATTTGTGGAATGGTTTTTCAACTTTAATTTTGTCATCTGTCTACTTATTAGCATTCTCAGCTTTCTAGTGTGGATACGTGAGCAAGAATGACATGAAGTTGTGTTCATTGTTGGTGGGCCTATGGATCAGTACAGATGTCTCAGAGCTGGACTTGACAGTGTCTTTAGGATTGAATAATTCTGTTGAGCAAAGTTTTGGGAAGACTATCTTACGAACATGCACATTAAGACCAGTACCAAGAACGTTATTACAGCAAACACATGTGTAACCCGCATGGGCATCAGCACTGGAGCTCTAGGTACCTGGCAGCTAACGCAAGCCAAGCAGAGCCATAGAACCACCACAGAACATCCAGGACACAGCTGGAATGAGTGACAGCTGCTAAGAGATGCCGACAGCTGGACCATCTCCATCCGGACACACCCAATGCAGCTTCTTTCCTGTGGGAGCAGGCGTGTTTGCAAACGCACAGAAAAAGGTGTGAAGTGAGCTTGGAAAAATGAGCTCAGCCAAAGGGAAGAGGTGGATTTGGACCGAGAACAAGGGCACCCTCATTATTTGTTAACTTTTGGAGGTCTTTTGTTTGTTTGTTTTGTTTTTTTGCCTGTGTGTGTTTTTAAGCAAAAATATTATATCTTAAGTAACTAAAAGCTGGTTTAAAGGACAAAAATAAAACTAATTCAAGTTATCAGCAAAGTATTCAAAAGGAACACAGCCTTAAACTTATATTTTAAATGGTTCCTTTAATAAATGCTAAATTTATGAGCTGTTGAAGAGAGCACTCAGCGGTTGAGAGCACATATTTCTCTTGCAGAAGACTCAAGCTCAGTTCCGAGCACCCACGTACAGTGGCTTACAACTGCCTGTCTGGACACCAGGCGTACATGTTGCATAGACAGACATTCAGACAAAACACACATACACACAAAATAAAAGGAAATAAATCTTTTTAAAAATAAATGCAATACTAAATTTAAAAACAAGAAGCCCATGTTACAATACTAGGTACATGGAAAGGGCCGGGGCGCTGCCCACTTGAGGAGTCCTGTGTGCCCTCGTGAAGGTTGAGGCTGGGCACTAAGCCACCACACATCATCTCTTGTTTCCGAGTCTTCCTGTCCTTGTATGTACTGGGCTCTGGATCCACGTGTATTTCTGTTTCACCTCTAACTATGGAACTGAACACTAAACACACGAACCACGATGAGCAAGGCAAAAAGCAAACGAAGGGGAGCCATTTTGTTTTTCTAGTTGAAAGGATAAGATGAAGTGCAGAAGTCCAGCGAGAAAGGGGGAGAGGGAGAAACACCTGGTAATTTATAGGACATGGCCAGAGTGACTCACGGCATCTTTACCTTCTGGACTGTCTGCTTGCTGTCCTCTTCTCTAACACACACACACACACACACACACACACACACACACACACACACACACACACAGGCTTCCCTCAGCATGCTGCTGTGCCTTTATTCCTTTTAGACAACCTCACAAACACCTCAGGGCTCTTGGAAAGTCTCTGCAGGTTTTCCTGCGCTCAGGATAGTTGAGGGTTCTGGTGCTCTCTCACCTCCCTGCTGTATAGTAAAGATTTCTGTAACCAACCCATCAACCCGGCTTTTGTTGGAAGTTGTATTGTGCGGAGGTCTAGACTAGTCCTTTCTGAGTGTCTCTGTACACTGTCCCTGGGGAGGGGGTGGTAAGCACTTTATCCTTTTCTTGAGGATTTCATATCAGATTTTTATATTTCTTTATTATGTGTATTTTAAAATCAGCTATGTAAGTAGAAAACAATTGTACATGTATTAGGTGTGGCCTAAAAAGCCAAGCTGTAGCCAGGTGGTGGTGGCACACACCTTTATCCCAGCACTCGGGAGGCAGAGGCAGGCAGATCTCTGTGAGTTTGAGGCCAGCCTGGGCTACAGAGTGAGTTCCAGGAAAGATGCAAAGCTACACAGAGAAACCCTGTCTTGAAAAAAAAAAAGCCAAACAGTATAAACACAGTTTGAGGAGACCTCTTCCCCTGATTGAAGATGCCTAGAGGCAGGTGCAGGTGTTCCTGGAACACAGCATATCTGTGTAGTTGACATATTGTATGCATTTGTTGAAAAGATGGTCACTTCAAAAGATAAAGTGTATGGGATTCATTACAGGAAACCTTATATTTTTCACTTGTTTCCCAGTTTCTTAGTACATGTAGGAAATCATTTTAAAAAAAGCAATAGTTCATTGTAGAATTATATCTGGTAATGACAGGCTCACAATTTCTTAAGTGAATTACTATTCTTGCTAATTAACAGTTATTACATGAGTCATTTCGTTAAATGTGCTCCTATTGATACCATTCATGCTTTTAACTTGGAGTTGTTTTCGACTATAAGCAAGCTCTCTTGGAAACCTGGATTTTCATAGAATCAGTTTAACCATTTTCTACAGTATGGTTGGGATTTTTAGGATGGGAAAGATTTGAATAGATACTCCCCTGTCTCCTGACTTTGGAGGAACTAGGTTGGAATGGAATAGTTCCATAAATCCCTGGCCGATGCCAGCCAGGTAACTACTCAGCATTGTGTGGTAGTTCCTACCCCTTATCTTGTATGCCTTGTGCCTTGTGAACGGGATGCTGGGTGGGGTCCTACTTCACCTTCCCTAGGCCGTTCTCAACATCCGGAAGGGAGCTGCTTGTCTCAGTGGAACCTCAGTGAAGATGAAAGTGATGTATTCTCGAGCCCGATGTCAGAGAACTGATGGGGTCGAGGACATGTTGTCCCCAAATGGTATCTCAACATTTAAGAAAAAAGCAGGGCCAGGCAGTGGTGGCTCAGACCTTTAATCACAGCACTCAGGAGGCACAGGCAGATGGATCTCTGAGTTCTAGGCCAGCCTGGTGTGCAGGGTGAGTTCCAGGACAGCCAGGGCTTCACAGAGAACCCTCTCTTGAAAACCAAAACCAAAACAAATGGAAGGAAAAGACAAGAAAAAAGCAGGACAGATGTTCTCACAACCCCTTAGTCTTCTCTTATTCAGGTTGTAAAACCCATATTTGAGAGTGCCCACCCTATACCTACAGGTCGGAGTTCCCATCTCTGAGGACAGGACACAGAGAATCAGAACAACCAAGACTTGCTAAGTTCCTCACACCAACTTGTTGTGAACTATTGGTTGAAGATGCGTTACATTCATTTATGCTGTGGAATATTTGTTTAATGGTTCAAAGATGTGTTGCATTCTTTTAGGTATATTTGTTTGACTCTGTAACGCTGTGTTACTTTGCCTGTCTAAAACACCTAGTTGCTCTAATAATAAAGAGCTGAACGGCCAATAGCTAAGCAGGGGAGAGAAATAGGTGGGGCTGCCAGGCAGAGAGAATAAATAGAAGAAAGAGAAGAGGGGCGGAGTGAGACAAGGAGAAAGAGAGGAAGACACCAGGGGCCAGTCACACAGCCACACAGCCAGCCACGGAGCCAGAAGGAAAGAAAGTTAGAATAAAGAGAGGTTAAAAAGCCCAGAGGCAAAACAGGAAACAGGATAATTTAAGTTAAAAAGCTGGCTAGAAACAAGCTAAGTTAAGGCCAGGCATTCATAAGTAAGAATAAGTCTCCATGTGATTATTTGGGAGCTGGGTGGTGGGCCCCCCAAAGAGTAAAGAGTTAAAAAAAAACACACCAACTTGTGCCCATTAGATGGCACCCCCTTCAATCACTCTTCACAATTATACACAGCTTCCCTCAGCCGAAAGATACAGGTCCCTGTGCAGCTTTGGGACTTTGTTTTCTTTCCAAGATTCCAGATTTACATTGGATAAGTTAGTATTTCTCACATGTTCATTTGTCACGTGTCGTAGGGGCTTCAGCCGTGAGCCTAGCCGGAGATAAGGGGGAAATGAGCATGCACACACTCCTCTGATGGCGGGAGAAAAGGCTTGGTCTTAAAGCTTTGGGGGAACTTACTGATGCTGATCACATACTTGAGTCAAGACCTCCGTGGAGACTAAAAGTAGATGCCTTTCAGGATGACCTTTTCCAGCTAACATGCAATGGCACTTCTAGAAGCTTCCCTAAGTCTGCATTTCCCCAAGGTGGGGAACTCTGTGGTGTCTGACTCCTCAGAGCAGTTACTCCTGCCCACCCTCCTGGCCTTACCCTGACACGGACTGCACATCTCAAGACACTTTGAGCATGGACACTTAATGTGTGCAGATTTTCCAGCTGGTATTTTGGTAATCACCCTCACTGAAGAGGTGTGCCCCCAGGAAAAAGGAGGACCTAGGGGAGAGAAGCACCTAGTTTCCAAACAGAGAGGTGCGGAGAATCTCAATGTACAGCCTATTAGGGTCTACTGAAAATCACCAACCGCAATTAACTGCAATTTTGTGAGAGTCAGTTCTTTCCAAGAAACATCTAACAACTGAGGCAGGGCAAGCACCAGCTCCGGGCTTTTTTTACGTGTTGAGGACCGTTTTCATCTTCCCACGCTGTCTCGGGCTGGGCGCCCAGAGAGGAAACTCAGGCACCCCTTCCTGGCCTCTGCCTTCTGCACCCCGTCCTTCCACAGCTTGCGCTCTGCGGGGACTGAAGGTTTCCAAAGCCGGACTCGATCCTTCCCTAGATCAGACCCTTTCTACTGTTTGGGGGTTGCAAGGCGCGTCGCTGTGTTAAAAGGCAGACAGACGTGTGGAAAGCAAGCGAGAAAGTTGCATTTAAACTTTAGGAGCTGCGTCACCGCAGTCGCCTGGAGAAAACTCCGCCGAGCGGGACAGATTCCTTGCAGCTTTCAGGCCCCGGGCGTGGGGAGGAGGCGGCGCGCGGGGCGGGGGCGCTCTGGGCTAGGGTGCAGGCGGGGACTTGGGGTGACGCGGTCCCGGGCCGCAGTGCCACACAGGGATTCTCGGCTTCCGGCAGAGTCCTGTGCGGGACGCGAACCGGGAGGCTGGCTGCCCGCGGGCGAGCCGCGCTGGGAGGCCGAGGCCGGGGTCGGGGCCGGGGAGCCCCGCGAGCCGCCGCAGCGGGGTCCCGGGGCCGCGGAGGGGCCATGGCCGCCGGCGGCATCACCACGCTTCCCACACTGCCAGAGGACGGCGACCCCGTCTTCCCGCCCGGCCACTTCAAGGACCCCAAGCGGCTCTACTGCAAGAACGGGGGCTTCTTCCTGCGCATCCACCCCGACGGCCGCGTGGACGGCGTCCGCGAGAAGAGCGACCCACACGGTGAGCCGTCACCTCCCACCCGCTCCCTAGCCCTCGGGGACGTGGGGACATGAGGCGAGGCGCCCTTCAGCCCCTAGGCACCGGGGACCCAGGGACTCGGGGAGCAGCTCCATTCCCGTGCCCTCAGGAATAGGGTCCTTGCCCTGCACCTCCTCCCGCAGCTCCAGGTGGGCTGGCTCCCTAGTCTCTGGTCCCTCGCAGGCCACCTGTTGCAGTCTGGATGCTAGGATGCTGGAGGCTAGGGGTCCGCGGCTCTTGGGAGTGGGGTGGGGGTTAGGGGTGGTAGGCGTGTCTCAGGCAGGACTCTGGAACTCCTTGGCATTCTGCAGTCACCCGGGGAAACGGAGGCAGGACGAATTGTTCTTCAGCTGAGCCCTGCACTTCAGTTCGGACTTGGTGACCAGAGGGATGTAGCCCTTACCCTCACAGCTATCACACTCTACCCCCACCCAGTTTCTCCAGGTTATTCCAAAGAGGAAAGCTAAGGGAGTCAAAACAGACAAGAGACTAGCAAACCAACCTTTGACTTCCTTAGTAAAGTGTGACAGACCTCGATTAAGTGTGAAGTCAAGAGCAGATCGTTTGACAGCGCTGAAGTGGGGGTTACCTTCCTTGCGGTGGATTGAGGGTGAGATAAAAATGACAGCTTCAATTTATGTAATAAAAATATACCCGATCGTGGATATAGAAACCGTCCTAAATCAGTAGGCTCAACTTTAAGGCTCCCAGCTATCACCCGCAGCGTTGGCTGTACCAGGTTGGACCCAACCCCAGAGTCGGGATGAAACACCTGCGTTTCTGAGTTTGTATTCTCAGCAGTCCTCCTCCAGAAGCTACATTTGGACAGTCACGGGCTAGAAAAGGCCCGAGCGGGCTGGTTCAGGTATCTAAGGGTGGAGGTGAGTGGGACGACCTGCGGTTAAAACAAGTAGTTAAAACATCTGCTTAAAAGGCTGCCTTTATCTTTAAGGGTTCTGTTGGGGTCTGACTTTCTTTTTTCACCTGAGAGAAGAGTGATCGAGGCCTGAGTTCCGGGGTTCCTGAAGTTTTCCATTTAGGAGCTCTGCCTTTATCTTAAGACACCCAGGGAATTCTATCCACTATTTAAGGAGCAGAAAGACCAGAATGCCCCACAAACAAAAGGAGCTGTCCTATGTATACGACATACACTTTCACGTTGCTGAGTATTTTTAGAGCATAATAGAAAATTTAACTGACATACAAAATATAAAAGAAGTACATATGAATGAGGCAGGGTGATTTTCCACACACTGTGTGGTGTTTAAATGGGTTTTAAAAAAATACCTATCTCCTCACATTTTTTATGGTAAAAACTTATCCCGATGCTTTCTTCTCCTTTTAAAGCCTGGCACCATGGTTTCTGTCATCACTGCTGGTATTGCTGCTGTGTCCACACAGCCCAGCATCTTATTGCTACCTCTTGCTTCATAGGGACCACTGAGGGCCTGTACGTCTATTATTTGTTCTGGGCCTGCTCTAATTTGGAAAACCTTATCAATTGAAAAGATGCTTGAAAGCTATTAATATGAGTTAGCACTGTTTCTCTATTTTAGTGTAGAGCCGATGGTAGAAAAATGTGTCTTTGAGATTTGTCTGTCACGGCTCAACAGCTAGGACAAGCAGCATATGCATCCCAGGTGGTTTTGTTCTTTTCCAAAGCATGTGTTGTTTGAAGAGCCTGTTTCATGGCTAAGGGCAGAAGAATCATCTTCCAGTCTGGGTTCTGTTCGGAGCTTTAACTAATGCTCTTGTTTTTGAATGCTGTATTAGCTGCAGAATTATTTTTTCTTTGAAGTCATTTACCTTATAATAAAACAGAGGTAAGTGGGGATAATTCTCAATTGCATAACATATTGCTATACTGTTAAAAACAGCTGTGCATTCTTCACAAATATTGAGTGTGATTTTGAACCTTTTTTCTTTTTCCTTTCTTTTCTTTTCTTTTCTTTTTCTTTTTTTTCTTTTTTTTTTTTTTTTTTTTTTTAGGTAGGGTCTCACTATGCTGATTTCAAACTAGAGATTTTCCTGCCTCGGCCTCCTGCCTCTTGAGTGCTTATAGAATTATAAGCCTTATAATCTTGGGATTGGCCATGTGTCACGATGCCCAGCTCAGTTTCTAATTTTTCTTAAGTTTTACTTTTTAGATTTATTTTATGTGTATGAGTGTATTGCCTGCATGGATGTCTGTACATCACCTGCATGCAGTGCTCATGGGGGCCAGAAGAGGGCGTTGGATTTCCTGGAACTGGAATTAGGATTACTATGAGCCATCATCACGTGGGTGCTGGGATCTGAACCCAGGTCCTCTTCAAGAGCAGCAAATGCTCTTAATTGCTAAGCCATCTCTCCAGCCCCCCAATTTTGTAGTCTATAACTCCGTGATTCTCAAGTGGAGTAATTTGGCAACTCTTAGAGACATTTGTAGACATCATAACCTAAAACAGCACTTCTGGTAGTTACTGGGGGCATTCCTGGTCTTTAATGGGGTGCATTCCTGGGGTTTAATGAGTAGCATTCCTGGGTATTTGGTGGGGGACCCTCCTGTGTGTTTAGTGGGGGGCACTCCTGGGGGATACTCCTGGGTGTTTAAAGTGAGGGAGTACTCTAGGTGTTTAATGCATAGAACTCCTGTGTGTTTAGTGGGGAGCATTCCTGGGTGTTTAGTGGTAGGTACTCCTGGTGTTTAGTGAGGGATACTTCTGGGCATTCAATGGGGGACACTCCTGGCTGTTTAGTGGGGGCATTCCTGGGTCTTCAGCGGGTAGGCGCCCAAGATATTAAATACTCTACTGTCTTCAGAATATACACACAACTAAAACATTCTAGAACTAGGTCCAGGATTTTCCTGATGATCATTAGCAAAGAGAGGATGCTGACAGTCAAGAATAGAATAACTCATCCAGATGTGTGCCAACAACTAACTCTCCTAGAGGACATCTTTTTCCCGACAAGAATACCAAAGAGATCATTGATCATTTTTGTATAGTCTCCCATGGACATAACCTTATGTACAGTGTGTTTTCCTAGCATGAAAAAGGTACACTGATGGGTGAGCAGATCAGGACGAGGCTCAAGGGAAAAATACAGGAAAGTGTAGGTGAGGGCAAATTGGCAGTATCTCCTCAACTGCACACTTTCCTAAACATATTGGGAAATAAAAGCAGCCTCTTTCCCACTGCATTAATGGCTCAGATTCTCAGCTCCTTGTCTCAATCTTCAAAGTGTCCAGTTGACCCAAAACTATATCACCCGAGATTTATTCCTTTCTGTTTATATCTCTTCCAAGATGCAGAAAGCTCTGAAAGGCAGACATAATCCGATGATGCTTCTGCTCCACCTCTGCTGGTGTCGATGTCAGCTTGACAGGAGCTGGAGTCAGCACAGTGTTGTCCTAATATCTCCATAAGATCAGCTGTAGGCAGACCTGTAAGGCATTGTCTTAGTGATTGATGGGAGAGGGCCCAGCCCATGGCGGGGTGGTGCCACGCTGGGCAGGTAGTCCTGGGTTCTATAAGAAAGCAGACTGAGCAAGCCAGTAAGCAGCACCCCTCTATGGCCTCTGCATCAGCTCCTGCCTCCAGGTTCCCACCCAGTTTGAGTTCCTGCCTTGGCTTCCCACAAAGGATTGTTGTGATCCAAGATATGTAAGCCAAATAAATCCTTTCCTCCCCAAGTTTCTTTTGGCCATGGTGTTTCATCACAGCAACAGTAAGCCTAACTAGGACAGTGACTCTGAATGAAGTCGTGAGTGCCAGGGAGTTCTGGGAAGCATGCTTGGAAGACTGTGATCCACACAGTGGGTGCCGGCTAGGTGAGTAGTGAAGTTCAGCTACAGAAGGAGCAAGGTAGGGGCAGGGTGAACGTTCTGGAAGGGAGGCCAGAGAGGACAACCAAACACAGGTGTTTCCAGGTTTGCAGAGTTGATGATGGTCAGTGGTGCTCCACTACTGGCTGATCCTCGAGTTCTTTTCACTCAGAGGGGCCCGTTTTCTGCACCTTTGCATTTACAGGCCTAGAAGATCTTTATCTGACAGGGGAGCTGTGATCAAAACAAGGTGCTCCAAGTGGTTGTAGCCTGCTTCTCCAGCACATGTGCTGTGCACACACCTTCCTTTTGGCATCCTTGATCTGGATCTCAGCAAGCCTCTTCTAATACCCCTGGGGATGCATTGCATTGTGTCTGTTCTGAAGCTTTGAGCAGGGGGTCATGTGAGATGTCCCAAGGGAGAGAACATTTTTATCCCAAGCAGCACGTACTGCATGTGGAGGAGTGTGAGATGTCGGCTGCTTACGGACATGCTAGCATTAAATCTATTCCAGATGTTCTTACTTAGGGGAAAGGAAGGTAATTAGAACTGCTAGATCTACCCCGAGCTAACCCTAACTGCTCATTGGTAACAATTCTCTGCTTCCAGGCATCGGAGGACCTGAGATTGGCAGAGATTGATGGTTAGCCCAGACCCATGAGGAGTGGGGATGATGGACAGGTCAGCTTGCTTTCTACACTCTTTGCCGCTGCACACATTCTGCACAGTGCCAAAAATAAAAACATGGGCTGTGAAATTCACAGATCTCGTTTTATAGAGGCTCGGAGTGGTAGCCAGTTGCCTGAGTTACTCCCCTGACTCACTCTCCTGACCCAGCTTCTTGCCCACCTGGCTGCTGGCCTGCTGGGCCTGCTTCTGCAGCCTCCTTGCTCTCTCCCATCCCGTAGTCATGGTACCCTGGGGATGCCTGTGGCCGAGCTTCCTCAGGACACTGAGGGCCAGTTGCTTCAAGGGCTCTATGAGCCCACTATTGCTATTTTCTGAGGATTCTGGGCAAAGCAGCCTTAGCTTTTCCATTGCCCTGTGTAAATGCATCCATTCATTAAACGATTCTAGATGCTTCGGCCTTTCCCTGCTTTGGTCATATCTGGCAAGTGGTTCCTGCCAATTTGCCTTAATAAGCATGGTATTTACTGTAATGCTGTTTGTGTG